AGCTTATTGGATCAGATTCCAGAAATGTTTGCAGACACAAGGGAGACGGAGACAGTATTTGCCCCAGTGATTCAGGCTGGGATGGAGGCTCTGAAGGTAAGGCGAGAGTCCTGGGCAGCCGCCTCTGTGACACTTTCTTCTGAGCATCTTACCTCTGGGATACAACCCCTGTTTCTTTAGTGACTGGTGACTGTCCAGTGAGTCAGCTTGTCTGACATAGTTGGCACTGAATATATGATGAGGGAAGGGATGAATGAATAATGGATGAATAAAGGAAAGAATGGACCAGTAGATCTCTCTTCTCTTCTAGGCTGCTGAGTGTGCAGGGAAGCTCTTTCTGTTCCACACCTCCCTGCCCATTGCAGAGGCCCCAGGGAAACTGAAGAACAGAGATGACAGGAAGTTGATCAACACAGACAAGGAGAAGGTGTGGGACTGGGAGCTGGGGGGAGGACTTCCCATCACAGAGGATCGTGCTGTCTCTTTACAGTGCAATACTCTTAACTTTCTTGAGGGGGTACTGGGACTAGATCCTCTGCCCTTTCATATCTGTGACTGCCAGCCTTCTCCACCACTCCCACACCTCTCTACCCCATCTCACCCCAAAGCCCTTGGTAGACTTTTTAAAGAGAATGTTCTACTGCTATTGCAAACTGTAAGATCGCTCTGAAGTCTTAGGTGTCTTTGAATAATAGCCCACATTACATACATAGTTCTCAAACAGGGTGGAACTCAGGTCTCTGAACATCTTCTTCTCTTCCTCCCTAGACTCTGTTCCAGCCTCAGTCAGGTGCCTATCAGACCCTGGCCAAAGAGTGTGTGGCCCAAGGCTGCTGCGTAGACCTCTTCCTCTTCCCTAACCAGTATGTGGATGTGGCCACCCTCTCTGTTGTACCCCAGCTCACTGGTGGCTCTGTCTATAAATACGCTTGCTTTCAGGTATGGCATGGGACTCTGGGTGGCAGGTGGAGGCAGGACTGGAATGCCTGCCTACAAGTGGAGTGGCTCCTTAGCTGCTGACTCATTGATAGGAATATCATTGAGAAGACCACACAATGTAAAGAAAAGAGTGTAGCGAACAGGAGCAAGGGGCTTGAAATTAGCCCCGGGTTGATATTCTGGTTCTACCACTTACCCACTATATGATCTAGGATAAATTACTTATTTTCTTCTTTGTTTCTTCATCTATAAAATGGGATTTTTAAATAGTTTTTAAGTAGGGTTTGTCATCAGGATTAAGTGAGCACATGTAAAGCACTTAATGTAGTACTGGGCATGTAATAAGTGCTTAAAACTTAAATAATAACATCGTTGTTATTACCTTTACCTTACTGTCACTATGATTCTGCAGGCTTGTAGAGTGGAGAGGGTACAGGGATTGCTGGTGGGTTGTATGTAGTAGGTGATGTGACTCTGGCCTGGGGATGCAGGTGGAGAACGACCAGGAACGGTTCCTGAGTGACTTGCGTCGGGATGTCCAGAAGGTCGTTGGCTTTGATGCTGTGATGCGGGTCCGGACAAGCACTGGTCAGTTCTGGCTGGAGTCAAACAGCTGAGCGGGGGCCCTCAGTCTGGGCACCTGTCATACCATTAACCATGTCCCTGTCCATGTGGCCTCAGGAATCCGTGCTGTAGATTTCTTTGGGGCTTTCTACATGAGCAACACCACAGATGTGGAGCTGGCTGGGCTGGATGGGGACAAGACGGTGACTGTGGAGTTCAAGCATGACGATCGGCTCAATGAAGAGAACGGAGCCCTCCTGCAGGTGATGGACAGGAGGCAGGGGCTGGGGAAGAAGTGTCAGCGGTCACTTCACTGGATTTAAGTAGGCTGTAGGGAAGGGGGTGAGGGGCGCAGAGAGGACTGGAAGAGGCTGGAGAAGGGATAGCTCCCATCTTTCTTCTAGCTTCATAATATAGCAAAGAGGAGGTGTCGCGAGGCTCTTGGTGAGGGAGGGGTGTGAATTACCCCTCTCACTCTCCCCTTAGTGTGCCCTGCTCTACACCAGCTGTGCGGGGCAGCGACGGCTCCGCATCCACAACCTGGCTCTCAACTGCTGCACTCAGCTGGCTGACCTGTACCGAAACTGTGAGACTGACACGCTCATCAACTACATGGCCAAGTTTGGTGAGGGCAGAGGCCGGGCAGAGGGCTTGGGGCTAAGAGGATGGACAGCAGTTGAGCACTCCTGGGCGGGTGTGACGGTGGGAAGGCACCTGTGATGGAGTGGCTGACCAGTGAGCACACGGTCTCCTTTCCCGTCCAGCATACCGGGGGGTCCTGAGCAGCCCTGTGAAGACTGTTCGTGACACTCTCATCACTCAGTGTGCCCAGATCTTGGCCTGTTACAGAAAGAACTGTGCCAGCCCCTCCTCTGCGGGACAGGTGGGGCGAGCTTGTTGGTGGAGAAGGTGTTGGGATACACCTTTGCATTGGGAGGGATTTCTCATGATTATGATCACTGACTTTGTTTTGATAACTCCCTTAGTTGATCCTCCCTGAGTGCATGAAGCTCCTCCCTGTTTATCTGAACTGTGTATTGAAGAGTGAGGTCCTGCAGCCTGGAGCCGAAGTCACTACTGATGACCGTGCCTATGTCCGGCAGCTGGTTACCTCCATGGACGTGGCTGAGACCAACGTCTTCTTCTATCCTCGGCTCCTACCATTGGTGCGACTGAATGCTGGAGTATGAGACATTATACTGAGAAAGGGGCGTCATAGGAGGAGGAAGGGAAGGATTAATATTGTCTGTATCTGACAAAAATACATTTTTTACCTATATTATCTGATGTAATATTTTCATACTTAGAGCTACTCAGGGGCTTAGTTTTTAGAAATTTTATGTGTATGGGGATGCACAATGGGAAGGTGCAGGTGGGCAAACGAGTCTTAACAGTCATTGGTAACCTTTTGCCCTCTTCCTTTTGTCTAGACAAAGTCTCCCATTGAGAATACCACTGAACCACCAGCAGTTCGAGCATCTGAAGAGCGTCTAAGCAACGGGGATATATATTTGCTGGAGAACGGGCTCAACCTCTTCCTCTGGGTGGGAGCAAGTGTCCAGCAGGGTGTTGTCCAGAGCCTCTTCGGCGTCTCCTCCTTCAGTCAGATCACCAGTGGCCTGGTGAGGGCAGGGCATCAAGGAGAATGTGGGTGTGGAAGTAGGTTTCATGATAGGAGTAGAAACCAGTAAAGATAGTGTGCTCATTCTCTTAAATAGCAGGGGACGCTGAGAGGGAGGGTGCTGTCATTCTTCACAGGCTTCCATATTTCAGATAATGCATAAATCTGTGCTGCCTCATCTTGTCTGCTGGATTCAGCATACCTTACCATAAGGATAAATGAATTTTTTGTTTCAGAGTGTTCTGCCAGTTCTGGATAATCTGCTGTCTAAGAAGGTTCGAGGCCTCATTGATAGTTTGAGGGCACAGAGATCGCGGTACATGAAGGTAACAGTGATCTGAACCTGGATTTCTTACCTTGTCAAGTCCTCACTCTGAAGGAGGGGTGGGAGAGTGAGCACTAGATGATGGGATTTCGGGGCATGTGGTTAATTCTCTTCAGCCCTGCCTCATGACCCTGTATTCTGACTGTAGCTTATTGTGGTGAAACAAGAGGACAAGCTGGAGATGCTGTTCAAACACTTCCTGGTGGAAGACAAGAGCCTGAGTGGGGGAGCATCCTATGTGGACTTTCTCTGTCACATGCACAAGGAGATTCGACAGCTACTGAGCTAGAGCACAGGGGTAAACAGCACAGGGTCCAGGCCAGCTTCCAGAAAGTACCCAGGACAGCAGAGAAACTGGGACAGTTCCATATCTTATAAGTCATGTAAGCTGACCTCAGTCTCTTTGGGGGGAGGGGGAGGTATAAGGAGACACCTTCTTTCTGGGCTCAAGTATCCTACCACTCTGTCATGTCCTGCTGTTGGAAGGTGCCCCTATCCCCTCACTTTATCCTCCTTTTCCTGCTAATCCTGTCGTAATGAATGTAGTTTCTCAGTTCACTGTATATGATTTGGTGTTGGGGGATCTGAAGCCACCCAGACCCTGGCAATATTATGTGTCCCTTTGGACCACCCTCCAAGAAGAGAAGGGCAGGTGGGAAGGCATGGAGATCCCAGCGGGTTACTACAGGGGGGAGGGGCCGCTGATTCAGCTCATTGTCATCAACAACTTCCTATATTAGGGAAAACATACATACAGGTGCACAAGAGCTGGGCTGTAGGCCGTAGATGGTAGAGAAGTGGTCAGTCTTCTTGGGCCTGGAAGTCAGCAGCCAACTCACAGTGACTGAGGGTGGTTGATTAGCTCTCTTGCCCGGCTTCCACTGCTCCTCCTGCAATGACTGATGATCTCTTGGTGGACAGAGACACATTATCAGAAATGAATGAGCCTGGGAACAGTTGCAAAGTATATTGAGACCTAGGAGAGGTATCAGCCTCCTTTCCAGCCAGAGCGGCCCCAACACTGGATGGTTCTGTAGGGAGCCTGGTCATCAACTTGCAATACCTCACAGAGCCAGCCTACATACTACTCTGAGCTTCCGCTGGAAACACTGCTCTCCAAGCTGTTGGCGAGAGGGGCAGAAGTGGCAAGTCTCTCCTGCTAGGACACCACTCAGGCTTTGATACTGACAGAGTGGCTGACAGTTATCTTCCAACCCGACCTGGCTGAGGCAGGACAAGGGCTAGGCTTGATGGTGGCCAGGCTTGCCTGCTCCCAGCCTGGGGTGCCCCTGCTCTGGACCTCTCATTTCTCTTCATTGGTTTATTTTTCAATGCATCTTTAATTTGTAAAGAAATAAAATAAAAATAAATTAAGATGTATGCAGTAGCCTCATTTAATCGGCCACGTATCACTTTCCCTCCAGTCCTTCCTGCCAGGACTAGCGGCTCTGAGGAAGTGGCCGGCTGAGCTGGCCGCTAAGCCGCGCATGCGCCACATATCCCTGTGGCGTAGGACCTCGTCCCACCGCTACTCAGAGCCAGGCGGGGACCGGTGCTGCGGGCGTTGGCCGCCAGAGCAGACATGGGGGCCGGCAGCACGGGATCTGTGCTTGCTGTCCTGGGAGTGCTTGGTATCTGTGCGGCCAGAGGCCCAGGACCCGCGGCGGAGGGGCAGACCCGCGGGGAGGCGGAGTGGGCGGAGCCGTGGGATGGCGCGGTTTTCCGGCCTCCGTCGGCGCTGGGCGCAGTGGGGGTGGCTCGCAGTCCGGGGGCCCCGCGGCCCGGGAGGGAGGAAGCGGTGGACTTGCCGGTGCTGCTGTGGTGGAGCCCGGGGCTGTTTCCTCACTTCCAGGGAGACTCGGAGCGCATCGAGTGCGCGCGCGGCGCGTGCGTGGCGTCCCGGGACCGACGGGTGCGGGGAGACTCGCGGACGCGCGCGCTGCTCTTCTACGGCACCGACTTCCGCGCGTCCGAGGCGCCGCTTCCGCGCCTGGCGCACCAGAGCTGGGCGCTTCTGCACGAGGAGTCGCCCCTCAACAACTTCTTGCTGAGCCACGGTCCGGGCATCCGCCTCTTCAATCTTACCGCCACCTTCAGTCGCTACTCGGACTACCCGCTACCGCTGCAGTGGCTGCCGGGGATCGCTTACCTGCGCCGCGCGGCACCTCCGCTCGAGGAGCGCGCACAGTGGCGCCGCCGCGGCTACGCGCCGCTGCTCTATCTGCAGTCCCACTGCGACGTGCCTGCTGACCGGGACCGCTACGTGCGCGAGCTCATGCGCTACATTCCGGTGGGTGAAGGCCGGGCAGGGCGGGAAGGGGAGGGTGGCGCGTGGGGCTGAGGCTGGGACCCCTGGTGTCCTGGCCGACGTGCCGTACCCTCCTGACGGCCGTGCTCTACCCCACTCAGGTGGACTCCTATGGGAAGTGCCTGCAGAATCGGGAGCTGCCCGCGCCGCGGTTACGGGACACAGCCACAGCCACCACCGAGGATCCAGAGCTCTTGGCCTTCTTGTCCCGCTATAAATTCCATTTGGCCCTCGAAAATGCCATCTGCGACGACTACATGACAGAAAAACTGTGGCGCCCCATGCACCTCGGCGCTGTACCCGTGTACCGCGGCTCTCCCTCTGTGAGGGACTGGATGCCGAGCAACCACTCCATCATCCTCATTGACGACTTTGAGTCGCCGCAGAAGCTGGCAGAGTTTATTGACTTCCTGGACAAAAATGATGAAGAATATATGAAATACTTGGCATACAAGCAACCTGGGGGCGTCACTAACCAGTTTCTTCTGGATAGTTTGAAGCAGCGCGAATGGGGAGTGAATGACCCCTTACTGCCTAACTACCTTAACGGCTTTGAGTGTTTTGTCTGTGACCACGAACTGGCGCGGCTGGATGCCGAGAAGGCCCACGCAGCCTCTCCTGGGAACAGCCCGGTCCCTGAGCCTCATATTGCCCAGCCCTCACACATGGACTGCCCGGTGCCCACACCTGGCTTTGGCAGTGTGGAAGAGATTCCTGAGAATGACAGGTAAGCATAGCTGGGGTCCCCTGGGCTGTCAAATTTACAGACTTGCTTCCTGCAGGCAATAAACTAGCCCTGGGTGCTGAGGGGATGTTGTATAAGGAAATTATGACATGAGGTCATTATGCCTTTAAGGTATCAAGAGTCTAAGAGAAGACAAATTGCAAAAGAGCAGTAGAAAATGTGAGAGATAATTGAGAGCAACAACATAGGAAAATCAGCTTTTATAAACAGTCTTTGTAGTAGTGCTTCAGAAAAGGCTTCAACTAGAGCAGAGGGCCTGTTTAGGGAAGTGATGAGGGACAAAGTTAGGTCAGGTTATACATATTCTGAATACCAGGCTCTGGAGCTGGACTGTCCTGAAAATCAGCTCAGCTATTTATTGAGCATCTTCAACATGGTGGGGCTGTGGATGAGAAATACAGAAGTGTTTCCAGGGAGGTTTGTCTGCAGTAATCAGGGTTTATACCTGTTAACTTGGTGTAACTATTAACAGCATCTCCTTTCACTCTTAAAATTACCCTGATTTGGATGATAAATTATGTTTGTCCTAGACAGAATAGAAGGGATGCTTTCAAAAGATGATTAATGATTGTGGCCAATGGTGGATTGGAAGGGAAGTGAGGAGGCTACTGAAGTAGGCAGCAGAAGGTGGAGGCATTGGGAAACAAGGTCAGCATAGGAGATGGGGTAAAAAAAAACGTTGAAGCCACTTGCAGCAAACCACACCTGTTAGGGGAGGGGTGAAAAAAAGATTATGTTTGAGACTGCTAGAATAACCTGCAGAGATCATCTTGGACAGTGGATGGCAGCAGAGCGCTGGCACAGTTTGGTCCTGGGAGTGGAGTGGATTTGTATCCAGTAATTTACATCAGGTAATTTGTATCTAGTTTGTGCAGAACATATGATTTATCAGAGGAAAAGTGTAACATTAAAAAAAGAGAAACATTCAGGTTATGGCTCATCTAGACACTGGATACTGTTGCACTTCTTGATTACTGAAACAGGTGTAACATAAAAAGGAACCATCTAAATATACTCCCTTGCTTTTCTTAGGAAGATGACTGTTTCCATAGTTTGGCCCTTGCTCTGCCTACCTCTTAATTCCCTCCACATTTGGAGACCAAGAGCAGGCAAGTCAGGAAATTTAACTCACTGGGATATGTGTGTATGTGTGTGGGGGGCTTGGATAATGAATTTGTGTTTTTGGCTCGCTGCCTGTCACTTGGATTAGCACTGGATTTACTTCACATTTCCTTCCCTCAAAGCAGATCCTTGGTCCTAACCAGAAACCACTATCTGCTGAAGATTTCTTTGGCCATTGGGAGAAAGGTAGGATTCATAGTTGTACTGAGGTTCCATAATCCAACTCTCATTTTGATGTTTCAGCTGGAAGGAGATGTGGCTCCAAGATTATTGGCAAGGTCTGGACCAAGGGGAAGCCCTCACTGCCATGATCCACAACAATGAGACACTTCAGGGGAAATTTTGGGATTACCTAACAGAGATCTTCATGAAAAGGAACCAAAATCTCTAATTGCTCATACAAGTATTTAACTTGACAGAGCTAAGGAGATGGAAGTCCTTCAACCACGGGACATGAAGGATATCCAGTGCACGAGTCCTTAATGAACACTCTTACCATGAATCCCAGGAGTAAGTTATATCCACTGATGCTTTATTCTAATCATGTGTAGCCAGGGTCTCAGCTCATGGCAATAGAGCCTCTTCTCAAGGAGAGATGACGGCATCCCGTTTTTGATTCAATGGGAACCATAAGCCTGAAACACCCCCATTTGACTCAAGGTGCTGATCAACAGAATTTTTAAAGAACTCCTTATTTTTCTAGCTCTTTCTGCCTCTCAGTCATGATTGGGACATGTTAGTACTTGGCTGTGAATGAGGTAAGATGGGCCAGGTTTAAAGTATGAAAACCTCTCCTGTATTCTTTAAACCACTCATTATTCAGTACCTTTTCCTAATTTCTATTCCTGTTTCTTGCTCTATAAACTGTTTATGTTGGTGGTGAAGCAAAACTCCTGGTGGGTTGTATCCGGGCTCTCTGGAGTTGTATTTTTTTAATATCACTTACTTTGCCTTTCATGTCAGCCTTTTTATTTTGAATGGCTTTTCTTGCCTGATTTCCCACAATTTCTGTTGGAGATGGAGTAGCCTTGCCACCATTCCCACACTCATTTCCACCTGCATTAAACTGGCTCTAGATCGGACACCTTTTCTTACTGCTGATTTGCTTCACATCTAGGGCATATCTGAAATTTCTTCTCACCTCATGAGTATCAAGATTCAGAGGCTAATAAATATCATGTCAACTTAAGGAATCATCCTGCTTTATTTTAGAGATGGAGACTCAGGCTGGAAATGATAGCAGAAAAAGTTATCATTTCAGAAGTTTAAAATAGGTCAATGTGAATCAAAGTGCAGATTTTTATAGGTCATTGGTCTTTTTCTGTCTGCCAAATGAACTCTTCTATTATCTTTATATGCTACAAAAGTCCATTTCCCCCAAAAACTCATGAAAATTATGGTGGAAGAAACAGCCCAGCAATATAGCTCTAGTAATTATCTCATATTATTTCATATTCTATGGCACTTTTAAGTGGGATAAACATTCCAACTTCACTCAATTACTGTTACAGTGCAAAACTTTATAGTACTGAGACCACATTTTGATGAAGTCCACCCAAGGCCCTAAACCCAAGGGGATGAGAGGTGAAGCAAGACATTTAAGCCGTCATGAGTGGCTGGCTAAATAAAAAGTTGTTAGATTTGGGAAGGTAGCCAAACACTTCTATTACTGTGGTTTAAACATACAGCTTAATGGAGAGGGAGATCATCTCCTTTTTCTGGGGCAGTGGAACAAGGAAGAACACCTTGGATCTTAGAACTACACTGGTTGTAATATATTAATGAATTATCACTAGAGAAATCCCATAGCTTATCAATATATCTGGTTTAAATTAGTATGTATGCATGTGTATATACACACACATTATTTACATATATATGTGGTTGTAAAGACTGAAGAGGAAGATGATGCTTATGACTTCAGTATAGACTATGTATAATAGAACCTTGGGTATCTATAAGGTTTTGTTTTTAATACTGAACAGCCTGCTAAGCTGTTCCATGTGTGATATACCAGTTTGTTTTTAAATTTAAAAAATCTAGCTCTTTATTTACATGAAAGCTAACATCAAGTGTTTATTTTAAAACATAATCGCAATTCCTTTGAATGGGGTAAAGATCAGAGACTTTACAATTTCTGGCTCACATGAAACTATATAATATCCCACAAAATGGAAATGCTGCAACAGACCTCACAATAAACATTTATATATGTGGGGTGCTCATATATATATCGGGCTTCCCTTGTGGCTCAGCTGGTAAAGGATCCGCCTGCAGTGTGGGAGACCTGGGTTCTACCCCTGTGTTGGGAAAATCCCCTGGAGAAGGGAAAGGCTACCCACTCCAGTATTCTGCCCTAGAGAATTCCATGGACTGTGTATAGTTCATGGGGTCACAGTTGGATTTTCACCTTCATATATACATATATGATGCTTCCATTAGGGTCCCATACTTATTGTGACCTTTGAAGATGTAGCCAATGGAAGTTATAATTTAGGCTGGATTTCACTGCCAGGGTGATTCTTTTTATCTTCTTTTGACTGTGCCACACAGCTTGTGGGACCTCTGTTCCCTGACCTGGGACTGAATCTAGGCCCGTGGCAGTGAAAGAGCAGAGTCCCAACCACTGGACCACCAGGGAACTCCCTTTTTTCATTTAATAAAAAATGCCCTTCAGGACTTCCTTAGCAGTCCAGTGTTTAAGACTCTGCCTTCCAATGCAGTGGGGTAAGTTTGATCCTTAGTTCCCTGGTCCTGAACTAAGATCCCACATACCCCAAGGAGCAGCCAAGAAAAAAAAGGGCCTTTCATAACAGCATGGAAAGTTTTCTGTTTGGACTTTTGCAGAAAAGAACCAGACAGACAGACCTTTGAAAATACTTACTTTAAAATTTGATGTAGTACGGACTCTTAGAAAAGCCAAATTCAGGACTCTGATTTCTAAGTATGCAAGTGATTTAAATGCAGACACCGGTTTATATTGTATACAAAATACAGTATTACCCAAGTGCAAACTAAGGTTAGGACTCAAATTTCATTATGTGCAATAAAATGGGTAGGCAATGGTTATGCAAGGTGTAGAATCATTCTTACTTCTCCTGTTTAATTACACCAGTTCAGCTGACACTTTTATGTACAAAGTAAGCCAGTTGTTTATGAATGATTGTGGATGGAGACTCATCCCTGGTTTGTGGTCAGTGCTTCTGAGACTTTCTTCTTTATTCCTCTTACCACAAAAGTATTCACAAAAGAGCAGGGTAAACCAGGTGCTACCTTTCCACAAGGGAAAGCAGAACCAGAAGCAGCCACACAGCTATCCAATGGCTTCACTTTCTCTGTGGAGAAAGCAAGCAATATGAATTTTCTGTGGTTTGGGGCCCAGCCTGCTGTGTAGACCGCAGCAGGCTTGAGGTTATTAGTGGTATAAGTGTCCGATAGGAATCAACTTTGTGTTGCTGGAGTAGGGGTGGAGCGTGGGGCTGATGCCTTTATAATTCCCAAGAGTTGCTATTTTCTATTGTCTCAGGTTTAATTTTGTATAATAAATGGCTTCCTTTTAAACAGTGTCTTCTGCTTGATTTTATTTCTGGGGTGAACATGGTAAAGTTGGAGACTTGCAAAAATATTTCAAACATTTGGTCATTTAATAAGTATGTATTGGCACTACTCTAGGCCCTGGGATACAGCACTAAACAAGATTGATAAGGTCCCTTCTCTCATTATGGGTACATTTTAAATGGGCATTGGGGTTAAGGCCATAAACAAACAATAAATGAACATGATAATCCAGATGATGATAGGTACTATGAAGAAAATAAAACATGGTGGTGGTTTGCATGGAAGTCAGGGAACTCGTCTTTGACATGAAGTGAGACTCAACAGAACAAAAAGAACCAGTCATGCAGAGATAAATGGGAAGATTCTAAATATCTGTGACAAGTGATTAGCACATACTCAATTTACATAACCAAATAAATACTGCTCCTCCAAAGTAATCATCTTATGAACTATAAGGCTGTCCAAGTTATGCTTCCATTACCAGAAACATTTCTTGGAGATCATGTGTAAATGCCTTGAGCATCAGTGGTACATCTTTGGACTGAGTTTTGTAAACAGCTAAGTCACTTCAGAGGGGCAGGGGGAAAAAAAGGTCACTTAGCACCAAGTCTAGTTAAAGCTAGGCATTACAATCCAAGGGCCAAATGTATACACAGAAATGATACTGCAAAGTATCTTCACAGGATTGGTGAGAAGATTAAATAAAATGATGAATGTGAGAAAGTGCTTAAACCTCACCCTATCCAATGAGATCACTACAAATGAGAAAACTGTTGAGTCCAGCTCGACAGCACAGGTTCCCCAAAGCACCACCATGGCGAAAGAATGAGAAACACTCAAAGTTACAGTGGGGATCAGGGGACCAACAGCCCCATGAGGTGAAGGTACCCAAACTGATCTCAAGTCTGCTTTATTATACTTTTTGAGACTTGCTTGTATGTGTTTACATGAGCACAGCAGGCCAAGTGGCCTTCAATGATAATCCTGTGCAGTTAACATTTAATATTTTT